ACAAAATATTTGGGAATATGACAGTCATTAAGTGCTCACCAAACCTAAGTCTCCACCTCCAGATACAGGAAAGTGATTACTCTTTTTGACTGCTTTTGTTTCCAGTTTGGGCCATATGATTAGATCTGAACAATGAGTTGTGAGCAGAAGTAGGGTGAGTTTCACAATCCAAAGCATTTTATTACAGGGACTTCCAGAGATCTCTTTCTTTTTGCCACGGTGAAAGGCAATGTTTGCAAAGTTAGCGGCTTCAACAGCCTGAATACAGGAAGCAGACATTGAACAGAACCCCAACACCTTCTACAATAAACATGTAGCCTAAGTGAGAAAGAAAATCATATTATACAAATTCACTGGCTCTGGAAGTTATTTATTTCATCTATCTATCTATCTATCTATCTATGCATCTATCTTTGAGACACAGTCTCACTTTGTCACCAGGCTGGAGTGCAGTGGCGGCCATCTCTGCTCACTGCAATCTCCACCTCCTGGGTTCAAGTGATCTTCCTGCCTCAGCCTCCCGAGTAGCTAGGATTACAGGCATGCACCAACATGCCCAGTTAATTTTTGTATTTTTAGTAGAGACAGAGTTTTGCCATGTTGGCCAGGCTGGTCTCGAACTCCTGACCTAAAGTGATCTGACTGTCTCGGTCTCCCAAAGTGCTGCGACTACAGGCTTGAGCCTCTGTGCCTGGCAGAAGTTACTTTTTATCACTTAACCCGGTTTATTCTGACTTATCTACCTAGGCATTCTTCCTTCCTTGAATGGTACTTGGTCTTCTGTATTGTTCACTGTGTATGAATCTACCCTCACATTGATTTTTTTATAGAGTAATCTTGTAAATATTTAGGGAGTTAGAATTCACTATGTAAAGCTGTTGAAGAACCCATGACAAATCCTTAGATGTATACATTTATATATCATAGTTTGGAGAGAAAGTTCCTGAAATATGTTCTTTAAAGAAATAAATTCTTTAACTTATTTCTAGAAATGCATTTTAAATTTTTTGGACAATCCCAAGGAATGTATTCAGAAAGTCACTCATTAGAGAAAAATTGGAAAAATATTATAAAGTGGTTTGAAAAAATACAATAAATGTGAACACTTTTCAAATTGTTCCAAATTTACTATGGTTTCTTGTAATAAAAATAAGCAAATCCCAATTTGTTTTCAGCATTTAATGATTGAAGAGTTCATACATCTTATCCTTTCCCTTCCAGGCTGAAATAGACCAAAACTATATAAAAGAATAGAACTTTGGTATATCTAACTATATCTAATCCATTAAGTAATCTCTTTGGTCATTCAGGAAATGCTCAGCATCTTAATAAATAGAGCCACATTTTATTATTAGAATTGAAATCCCCATGAACTACATGAAGGACTTCATTAATCCTAACATTAAAAGTTAGGACTCACAAAGTATTACAAAAACAAGAAGTATTACTTAAAAAATTACATATATCCTAAGTATGAATATCCTCTTTTGTGACAAAGTTTCTTTTTGATGGGATATCTCTCAGTAAGGACATTGATACTATTGATCAGCATATCAAGAAACAGTACTGCATTTTAAGTTAATATTAAGCACTAAATATTGTTTCTGTTTTCCTCTTTTGTATCTCTTATAGAAGGCTGCAGCCTAGACATAGAGCAAGCAAGGTTAGATTGCTTTAAATGTTTTATTTCATTACACTAAATCGATGTAAACAGTTGAAAAATGGCTCAAATTAATTTTAAATCTAATACATTTTCCCAAAAGATTGTAGGATTTGAACTTAGAAAGGATCAAAATCCAAATCTTATCTCTGCCATTTACTAGCTATGTCATTTTAGGCAAGCTGCTTATTTTCTCAGCGCCTATTTTCAACTTTCGCAAAATTTGATCACTACAGCATCATTTAGTTTGTGGTACTGTTGTGAGGACTGAATGCGGTAATACACGTCAGGCATTAAAAGTAGTTCCTTGGTTCAAACAAGCATTAAAAGTACATATTTCTATTATAATTTCTTTAAAATAAAATAACTGAACCATGGATGTATTCATAAATACACACAGTTGCTTATTTTCAAAGAAGAATATAGAAAATGTGTTACTTTTCACACATAGAGCAACAATTTTCCAAATATATGTCACTTGTTTCAGATGTATCTAGAACTAAATAATCCCTACCATTTCTTCCTTATAATGCTACAAGTTAAAGAACATATTTTTTGCATTTTAAATTAATTAAAGTATAAAGTTACTGGCCAGCCACAGTGGCTCATGCCTGTAATTCCAGCACTTTGGGAGGTGATGTGGGTGGATCACCTGAGGTCAGGAGTTCGAGACCAGCCAGGCAAACATGGAAACCGTATCTCTACTAAAAATATAAAAATTAGCTGGGCATGGTGGCACACACTTACGGTCCCAGCTACTCAGGAGGCTGAGGCACAAGAATCACTTGAACACGGGGAGGGGAAGGTTACAATGAGCTGAGACTGAACCACTGCACTCCAGCCTGTATGGCAGAGGAAGACTCTGCCTTAAAAAAACTAAAAATAAAAATTAAAAAATGAATAAACTGTAAAGTGACTGAAAAATGAGACATAACTTGTAGAATCCAAAGGAAGATGGTAAGATTGTGAAGTCATTTTTGGTAGTTCTCTTTAGGAAATTCAAAAGTTTTAGTATTTATTTCAGTAAGTTTCATTTGTAAATCCAGTGAACATGTACAGTATTTTTACCAAGTTTCTGTTACAACACTGATGTACTGTCCACCACCATGGCAATGGTGCCTTTCTGCCATCTAGTGGAAACACGAAAATACTATAAGCACACTTGAAATTTTAAATATAAGGCCTCCCAAATGAACAAAATCACTTCTTTTGTTTTGACATTCTGAGTTTTAAATCTTAAAAGTGGATCTGTGTGTTGGGCGTGGTGGCTCATGCTTATAATCCCAATGTGGGAGGCTGAGGCAGGTGGATCACTTGAGGTCAGGAGTTCAAGACCAAACTGTAAAATATGGTGAAACCCTGTGCCTATTAAAACTACAAAAATTAGCTGGGAGTGGTGGTGTACACCTGTAATACCAGCTACTCTGGAGGCTGAGGCAGGAGAATCACTTGAACCCAGGAGGCGGAGGTTGCAGTGATCTGAGAACTTGCCACTGTACTCCAGCCTGGATGACAGAACAAGACTCTGTCTCAAAAAAAAAAAAGAAAGAAAGAAAAGAAAAGAAAAAAAAAGTAGATCTGAAAATACTGACTTTGTAATATTAAAGAAGTACTTTTTAAATTTTATTTATTTATTTATTTTATTGAGACCAGGTCTCACTCTGTTACCCAGGCTGAAGTGCAGTGGTGCAATAACTCACTTCGGCCTCCAAATCCTGGACCCAAGTGATCCTTCCACATCAGCCTCCTGAGTAGCTGGGACTACAGGGGAAAGCCACCACTTCTGGCTAATCTTTAAAATTTGTTTTAGAGATAAGTTCTCAATATTTTCCTAGGCTGGTCTCAAACTAGAATTATTTAAATTAAATGCAGTATGAAAAACACATATCAAAGAATACGTAAAAGAAACAACTTTGAGCAAGTTGAATAGTGTACCCCTAGTAATATAAATACCTCTCCATGAAGAAATAGTGTAAAGGATGTGACGATAAATGTTTCGTATTACTTCATTAGTCCTAACTTTTAATGGTGCATCAATTGGAAATCTTTTTTTAACATATTTTCATACTTAGACCAAAAATATCCATTGCAACAATAATGATTCAACAGCCAATGCACAAAGGAACAAAACAAAGGATGAAATATATGTGTCCATATGTACAAATGTAGACACACACTCACCTAGTCATTTTTTAGTATAATAAAACAAGACGCCCATTATCATTTGCTATTTTGTGGTTACAAATTTGTCCAGGATTAAGAAATGGCCACACCAGAAAAAAATGATTAAAACCTCTAACATCAAGCACAGTGATTTCGCTATCACAAAATGTTACCTTACTAACATAAGGCTTCTTCATAAAATAATTATCAGATCTCAATGACCTAATATTTTCAGTCGAAACCCAATTATGTAAAATAATAGAGATGATATCAGTGATTTATTTTTGAACATTTTCACATATATCCATGGATAGGTAGGTAGAAAGATTATTTTAAAGAAACATTTTTAGATAATAGATGTTAAATACACTGCTGATAAAAGACACATTTGTGAGAAGGTGAGCAAAGTGATCTCCAAAAGAAATCACACTCGAATACTTGTGAAACCTGAGACCGTGTGGACTCCAGGCTGCAGTTCACCCCTCAACTTTTCCCACCCCTGGGGTCCATCTCATACTATGAGGGAGCTTCATACAGATGCCTCTGTGACACTCTAGTCCACACATACAATCTTAGACCATGCCTTCCCCACATACCCCACCTCCATCCTTATCCTAAAAGCAGGCTCTGCAATTTGGATCAGGAATGGGGTATCTTGATTACCTCCAACGTATGCGATCATTGGATGGGCATTTCACAATGGCCCTCAAAGCTGCACACCCACTCCTCACTCTTTGTGGAAGGGCTCTGCAGGAGGACAGTGAGGTTAGGGTCTACTAGGGACTAAGAGTGGTACTGGAGTAAATGTGATTTACAAAAGAGTATTTTCTAGAGGGCTATCTGGTGGAGAGATGATGTGAAATGATGTGTCAATGGAAATCCTTATGTTCAGCATTTTTCCTGGCTTCTGTATTCAAGGGTCTGATTCTAGAATAGAGAATGTCAAACTTGCCATGGAAGCAAGAAAGATAGGAACTAAAGAAAGCTGTCCTTGTGAACTTCATCCTGACCTAGGTGAAAAATTCGTTTCTCTGACTTGTAATGTCAACTATGTAAACCAATTTTCCCTTCAAATATAAGGTGTCTATCCTGTAGTCTGTGTTCCTTTTGCCAGAGGCACGAACATGCCAGATATAGACAGCATTATTTTATTAGAGGTAGACATGTGTATACTTACCAAACTGTTCATTTTTGAAGATGAAGAACCTGCTCTTTGCTTTCTTAAGCTATTCACGTCTTCTATATTTCCATCTTTTGGTTTCAAAATCATTCTGCTACTCCCTGCAGTGCCTTCTGATGAGGATCGCAGTCTCCTCTCTATAAATCTTCCTTCACGAAATGGACTGAGGCTACTGGCAAGAACTATGGAAAGGAAAATTAATAAAAATGAATGTAAATATTTAAATTTAGTTTTTATAAATGTTCCACTGAAAGATCATGAAAAACTCTTAGTGTTATTCAAAGCTTCTCTATCACAAGAAAACTTTCAAATATATAGCATTAGTTTAGTTCACTTAATCATGTAATCTCTTTGAAGCCCAAAACTTCTGGAGTCATCCTTGGTTGCTTCGTAGCTTACATTAATCACATAAACAAATCCTGTCCTTATTTCCCTCAAACTGTATATAGAATCTGATTTCTTCTACCTCTCCTTCTAAGATCCTGGACCAAACACAGTCTATGCTTGCTTGGTTACCACAATATTTGCTACAATTATCCTGCCTCTGCCTACTCCCATCTGCCTCTCCCAACACAATCTACATTCTACATGGTAGCCAGAACCATATACTGAAAACATGAGTGACAGCCATCACCACCACTCCTCTAGCCAAAAGGTGATGTTTTTCAAATGGCATAACAACTTCTTCATAATATGACCCATATGACTGCTCTCTCTGGCTCCAAGCCAGGGGCAGGAGGGTCACCCTGTTCACTTGCTCACCTTTGTAAACTTATCTCCTGCTCTCCCCTCCTTCACTCTGCTCATGCCACACTGGACTCTTGCTATTCTGGTACATTACCGGCATGCTCCAGCCCCACACAGCTTTTGACCCACAACCTTGCACTAATATATTTCTCTCAAATATCTGTATGGCTTATTATTTAAGTTTCTTTAAACCTTTACCGACATATTACCTTGGGTATCATCCTGTTCACATTTAAAAATGCAAACTGATTTAAACTTTATTGTGATTTAAACTTATCCTCAGCAGTTATTACCATCTGATATATATAGCATGTTAGCTGAGTATCCCCAGTAGCAAGTAAACCTCAGGAAGGCGGGGATCAAGGTCTGTTTTGTGTATTTTACATCCCTAGTGCCTAATACAGTATTAAAACAATAAATATTTGGTGAATGAATGAATGAGTAAATGAATACATTGTTCTAAGTAGGCTCACCTACTCAATTAAAGACTGTCCAGAACCTATTAGTTCAATATACTGCAGTTCTTTTTAAATAACTTTTTAAGCCAATGAATAAAAGTTAAATTGCCAGATAACTCAACATTCCATTATTAGTTCTGATACAATGTACACCTAATACACTCAGATGTGTATCTATTACTCGCTTAAATGTTTCATAAAAAATACAAACTAAATTTGGCACTTTGAAAGTTAGTGTCTATACCAACTCTTAGTGTCTATACCAATTCTTTCTTGCACAAAATGCATTTACTTAGCTGTTTTTAAATTTTAAACTTCAACATTATAAAACCCTTATAAATAGCACATGAATATTTTCACAAACTAAAGGATAGTATACTGTCCTTGTTGACACTACCAGCTAATTTATCCAAGAACAGCCAATACATTATCGAATCAGCAAAATTAATGTGCTATTGTGTTACAATTAGAATCTCAATCAACATATTAACAGTTGCCAAGATAACTGGTCATTCTCTAATTTCCAGAGAGATAAAAATACACAGTATTCAATTAGGCTTTGAGGAAAGTCATCATTACTAAATAAGAATTCGATATGTCAGGATAATTTGATTTCTATCCCTTCTTTATGTAATTTTAAAATTGTCTGGCTTTCAATATCAAGTCCATCATTTGCTAGCAATGTGGCCCTATAAAGTTATTTAACTTACTATAAATTTTATTTATTAATATGACATGCAAAACATTTATAAGGACTCTATGAAACAGTATATGCAAATTTCTTAGTATTTTGGGGCAAATATTAATTGTACAAAAGAGTAATCATTATTAAAGTCATCATCATTATCATATTCTCATAATTATATTACATGTAAAAAAGCTAAGCAGGTATGGCTAAAGCCAAGACCACAGACAAGGATACAAAGTTCATAAAATGGACAAAACGTGGTCAGGTGCATAAAAGTGATCTTGCATCAAATGGGAAAAGTATTAAGACAGCTGGAAAATTAAGTCATGCATTTAAAACTTTAAAATTCTATGTTTATGGATGAACTATATAATCCTATTACTCATGACATTATGTCATGTAAATTTTATTTAATATTTTAAGTAATGATGTGAAGTGAAGCATAGTTATGAAGAGCCGAAGCTTTGGATTCAGAGAGTTGTAGTTTGTCTGCACTACTTACCAGCTGTATGACTCTTTAGCCTCTGTTTTCACATTTGTAAAATGGGAAACTTAAGAGCCTACGTCATGGGATTTGTTTCCCAACCAATTAATTATTAGTTTTTCAACTGTGGGCACATAATTTATCTTTGCTCCCACTTTCTTGGCTGCAAAATAGCTTATAATAATAGTAGTGATTCCAATCATTTTTAATTAGTGTATACAAAGTATACAGAATAGTATCTAGGACACAATAAGCATCTTCTAATTTGGGAAAATTCTTAGTAGTAGTAGTAGTAGCATTAATGATAGTAGAGAAAAAGGAATTAAAATATGTCTAAGATAGCCCAGCAGGTGGTATATATTCAATAATTTTCTTGAACTGAATTTCATATTAAAAAACAAAGTTTTCTGTAGCCAGATTAGAGTAATTCATACATACTATCACTTTTTTTAAACCAAAGAGAAGGTGTCCAAAGTTAGAGAGTTAGTTAATGTCAGAGGCAGAGTTGGAACCTATGTCTCCAGGTTCCAAAGATAGTTTTTTTGTTTTTTCGGTTTTTTTTAAGCTTATAATTCTGTTGTTGTATCTAAAGATAGGAATTATTTATGTTGAAACATGGATCCTATTTCATAATGAAAGCTTAGTTAACAAAAGAAAACAAGTTAAATTATACAAATTTTATAGTGATTTTAGCTGGAATATATCCATTTCATTAAATAAGAAATATCAATGCCTCTATAATAAACTCAATAAAAGACAGTAGTCCTTACTTGAGAGAAATCCACATTACAAACAGAATTAGTTTCCTTTCACTTTCTTCTGAAGGTGCTCCAATAAGCACCATAACTAAGAGGCTTCTTCTCAGTTACAGACAACATAACTAAGAAAAAATGAATAATATTGCTCTATTACGTTTTCAGAATAATATAATTGATGTAAGTTTAAAATCAAGCAGGGGAAACATTTAGTACAAATTATAAATAAATAAACATTTAATACAAATTATAAATATTTTGAAATAGGAAACTATTTCAAAGGTGAAAAACAAGAAAAATGTGGTTTCCATTCATGAGATGGAATAAGAAAACTGAACAAATTATAATGGAAATTAATTAATATCATTTGTTATACATAGGAAATCAGCATACCTTTGGCAGGATTCGCTTCATATCCATATGATGTTTTGTTAAAAATATGATGATCACCAGAAGCAGGTATTATCTTTGAATCTGAAATAGGATGGATCCCTTTAACACGTTCAGCTATTGCTTTATGCTGTTCATAAAATCCAAATTTCCTTGGGGAGTTCGTTCCCGGCATTGTTTCGCCATTTTGTAACCCTATATTTTCTTCTCTTTCAATATCTGCTGGTAAGTTAGTCTCTGAGTGGCTGACACTTGTAGCAGGTAGTTCAGCAATTTGTAATAACACTTCCTTCTGATTAGCAACACAGGTTTCTGGTAAGGAATTATATTCAGTGCTACATTGACCCTCTAACCTAGATTTCCCAGGAGACATAATTGCACAGGGAACATTTCCCATAAATTCTATTGTTGTCTTTGTAACAGCAGCAGGATTGACAGACATCTGAGAGGTAGAATCATTGTGGCCAAAGTTGTCACAGTGGGATGCCATGCTTCCACTTTTAGAAAATGCATCCATTTCAGACACAGAATCTTCAGTCAAAGCTAAAAATTCTGAAGGTGTCTGAGCTGTGGTAAGATCAGCAGAAAGCAAAGGAGATTGTAAAGAGCTTCCTGCCCGTTCTGTTACATCCACAGAACAGGATGGCGAAGCTCTTACTAATACAGGTTCTCTCTCTTGGTACTGTGTAACTTCCAATGAGAATTCAGACTGTTGTACCAATGAAATGGATTGGCTCTGTAGAACTGGTTTAGAAAATTTATAGTGAGATGAAAAAGATTTAGGGAGTAGCTTCCTTGTTGATTGCTTAATAGAACGACGAGTTTGGTCTTCTGTGAATCCAGAATCATCCCCCTCACTTTTGCCAGAACTTAGACAATTGATAAAGACATTCTTATTAGTTGAGTGTTCTTTTTCCCTTTCGAAATCCTCTGTCATAGATCTCGTTATCTTCTTATTTCGTGAACTGCTAAAACCAACAGAATGTCTTCCCCTGGTCTTAATATGTTCTTCCAAGCTCAGTTTCTGCATATTGCTGTGACCAGGTTGAGCACCATTTGAAATACTAAGGTTCTGGTTGGTAGGCTCTTGCCTAGGCTCACTCCCCTTCTTATGATGGAAGCTAATGGAAGGAGTACGAAATATGCTCCTCCGTTTACCTGTACTACCTGAGCTTGAGTTAGTGCTGGAAGGAGAGGAACTGTGGACACCAACTGTATTACTGGAAGAAGGTGAAGAAGGAAGAGAATCATGTCTTCTGCTAATACTTCTTCTGAATATTGGCAACCTAGAGACCAGGGTAGATCGTCTTGATCCTGAGTCCCCCATTGGGACTCCAAGACTTGCACTGTGAAAGCCAACTTAGCAGCCTGAGAAAGGTTAAAACAAAAAGAACAAGTCAGTAGAATTCAACTACAAATAGTACATTTTAAAACACAGTATTGTTTTTCAAGACACAAAATAGAATTTGGTTTAAACCAAAACAATAAATAATAAAAATCTGATTCCTAATAAGGATTTTTTTGAATTTATGTCATAAAAATGATCTAATAATTCGCATTCATATTTTATAATGATGCAAATATTTTAAGATTAACAAAAATATTTAAAGCTTATTCAAGAGTGTTGGCTTTGGAGACACCAGGTCATTATTTAAGACCCAGCCCTGCTACTTACAGCTGTTTCATAATTTTGGTAAACAGTTTATTCTTAACCTTTATGTTTACTTATTTAGATGCAGTAGGCACGTGACAGACATATAATAATTTCTGTCTGGATAAATGCCCCAGTATGGCTCCTGTCAGAGACCACCAAAAGTATTTTCATTTGACACCACATGACTCAGCAAGTTACTGACCCAAGATCAACAGAATCACAAACAAGACAATGGTATAGCCAGACACTACAATCAGCACTCAAAGAAAAACCAATTGCTATAGACTTTTCTCCTTGAAGTTTGATTTGGGAAACTGAGAGATAAGCAGGCCATTGGAAGAAGAAACTAAATCACAAGGATAGAACATAGGGTTACAAACAAGTTAAACTTATGAGAGAACCACAGGTATCAATTGAAGAAAAGACTTGAATGAAAACTAAGACAGTTGGTAACCTTGAGAGAAGTAAGAATACATACTGAGAGAATCAGAAATATAAAAAATTTATTAACCATACTAGTATCAGTATATTCAGGATATCAATGGAGAAGATGAAGAAGGAGGAGGAGAAGGGTGAGGAGAGGTGGCACCTACAACTCATCAACTGCAATGTACCAAGTACTTTCCCACAGATTATCTCTTTCACATCTTACATTTCTAGAAGTAGGTATAAGACTATGAATATTTTACAACAGAAAAGCAATTTGCCTAATGTCATTCAGCCGACAAATGGTAACTCAGGAATAAAAAACCAAGCCTTATCTAACTACAGTGTCAGCTCATAATCAGCATGGTACAAACTGCATTCACTAAAGTGATTAGTCATGAACTCCTACTGCTGAATGAAGGGAAGGCTCAGCTATGTTTTTCTACATCAGGGATTCAAACTTGTACAGCAAATATTGCTATTGTGATGACTGCCATTTTTCACTGATTTTTAAACTGTATCTGATTTGGTTCCTGTTTTGTTTTTGAGTTTTGCTTAATCCTTCAACTGTAATGTACCTTCTTTTGTAAATTGAATCAGATTCTGTTTCATTTTCTTAGTTTTTACAGTCAAAACTACCTGACTAAAAGTTAACAAATACTATGCAAAATTTAAAATCCTCCATTTTATCATCCTTATAAATGTGAGAATTGATCAAATAAAATACTTTAATTTCCTTGAACAATTATGTGACAAAATGGCAAATATTAGCTTTCAGATATGCATTCCTAAATATTTAATATTTTGTTCCAAACAACATAAATCTGACAGATTTGTATTATGAGATATTTAATGGATGATTTTTCACTACAGTCAATGAACATGGGTTAATTTTAAGAATTTATTTTAATTGACAGGTAACAATTGAATATGCTTATGAGGTATACTGTGATGTTTTGATATGTATTTACATTTTGAAATTAAATTAAGCAAATTAACATAAACATCCTCTCATATACATACCATTCTGTTGTGGTGACAGCATTTAAAATTTACTCTTTCAGCCATTTTGAAATATGCAGTACATTATTATTAACTACAGTCAGCATGCTGTGTAATCAACCTCTAAAACTTACTTCTTCTAACTGAAACTCTGTACCCTCCGAATATTATTTCCCCATTCCCCTGGCCCCGGCACCCAAGCACCCTGGTCCCTGGTAACTACTCTACTTTCTACTTCTATGAGTTTATTTAGATTCCATATATAAGTGAGATCATGCAATATGTGTCTTTCTGTACCTGGGCTATTTCATTGAGCATAATGTCCTCCAGGTTCATCCATGTTGTGACATGTGACAGAATTTCTTTTTTAGGCTGAATAGCATTTCATTTTATATATAAACCACATTTTCTTTATCAATTCATCCATTGATGTACACTTAGCTTTGTTCCATATCTTAGCTATCACAAATAATGCTGCAATAAGCATAGGAGTACAGATGTCTCTTTGACATACTGATTTCAATTCTTTGACTATATACCCAAAGCAGGATTGCTGGATCATATGGTAGTTCTATTTTGGTTTTTTGAGAAACCTCCATGCTGTGTTACATAGAGGCTAATTTACATCCCCACCAACAGTGTGCAAGAGTTGCCTTTTCTCCATATGAATTTGAATTTAAATCAAACTATATATGAATCACTCCCAAAACATTTCCGTATTCTTGTAAGGCTTTGCTTGAAGAAAACTTAAAACATAAACAGACGTTTTAGCTCTTAAAATTTTTCACAAATAAAAATGTGTGATTTTCCTCACAGCTTAGATTTTCCCAAATGTATACAACAACACATTTTTCATGATTGTATTCTTTAAAATGGTTTAACAGCCATGATTTTTTTCATTTATAAGCAACATTTATTTCTCTTCCATTTCATTTATATGCAACATTTATTTCCATTCAATGCCTATTGAAGAATTTTGTTCTAATTAGAGCATAATCAAATGTAATAATTTGCAGCTGGTTGTGAACCTATAGACTTCAATGCATAAATGTCAAGATATCAACCATCATTACTGAAATATGCAAAAAGTGTGTATATTGAAATATTTATTGGCCATTTTTAAAGTATTTCCTGTATTTGGATTAAAAGTAAAATAATGAGTCACTCCCATATGTCTTTAGCAAGTATTAAATGTATTTAACTAGCCAAAAAAAATTTAAACAGTTTTAAAATCACTCTTGCTCCTAAGTACTTAATGAAAATGACGAAGCTTCCACCGGGCATGAATAATCAATTTAGGCTAGTGATATGTTTGTCCTAATTTCTTAAAGTAAAAACATCATAGATACTAAAATATATCTGCGCATTAAATAGAATAACCTAGAGTAGATAAAAATCTACCAGAGATAAAAACCCTTCACATGTCTTTTATTTTTAATATGAACTCATATTTCCTCTTGAGAGCTTCCCAGCTACATGAGAGAAAAACAGACTATGAGTCAGAATTATCCATATTCTTCAAATGGCTCTTTAAAGCTTGGATGCTCTCTACATCTCCAAATTCATTACTCCTCTCCTCACACTTCATGCTCTGCTTACAATGATGACTGCCATTTTATTATCTTTTTTTCCTTTTCTTTCTGTTTTGTTTTGTTTTGTTTTGTTTTGTTTTTGGAGACAAGGTCTTGCTCTGCCACCCAGGATAGAATGCAGCCGAGTGAACATAGCTAACTGCAGCCTCAAATTCTTGGGCTCAAGCCATCCTTCTACCTCAGCCTTCCAAATGGCTGGGACTACCGACATGCAGCATCATGCCCAATTAACTTTTAAAAAAAAATTCATAGAGAGAGGATCTTGCTATGTTGCACAGACTGGTCTCAAATTCCTGGCCTCAAGCAATCCTCCTGCCTCAGTGTCCCAAAGTGTTGGGATTATAGGCATGAGCCACTGCACATGGTCATGACTGCCATTTCTGATCACTTTCACCTTCAGACCTTTGGAGATTTGGGTCTACCAGCTTGGAATGCCCTTCCTGTAACTCCAATATAGCAAAGCCTCCTACTGTTATAACACTGCCCCTTCCAAGATGCCATCCCTGACACCTCCTTCCCCACCTGACACCCCATTTCTGCTGTCTTTCATTTAGACCTGGTACTCCTCTTTTACGTATCCTCAAGTACTAGCTTACATAGTAATCACCTGTTTATCTCAATTTACTATTTTGTCTTAAGCTTCTTAATGACAAACGCCATCTCTCCTTGCTTTGATACCCAGTGCCTGATAAAATATGCAATTTGTACCTATAGAGTGCACAGATTTCAGAAAATGAAGTTTTAACTTCAACACTTTAGGATTTCAAACATACAAAAATATATTTTCTGTCTCACTGCCATGAATAAATCTCATAATCCTGAGGGTAATCATGCTGAGTTACAGCATTTAGAGATTCGTATTTATTCAAAGACTTCCAAACTGTAAAATGTTCAATAATCTGAAATTTGCTAAAAAGTTGAAAACATGAAAAAAAATCCTGAATAAGTTTAATGAAACAATATGTCATCACAGCAACTTCAATTATTCATGTAAGATAATTTGTATATTATAACTGCTAATTTTATTTTTTATGAAGAAATTTTTATTTCTTCATAAAAAGAAATAAAATTTCATTTCCTTTTATAAAGAAATATATTTTTTATTTGTTTAACTTATTATTATAATGTTTCAACTATGAGGATTCTTGCAGTCCAGGCTCTTTCTACTAGAAAGACCATGCTATCTACATCTCAACACTTTCTCGTTTATCTCTAAATGCATTTCCAAAATGTTTTAATGTTTACTTTTAAATAAGTGGGAAAATAATCGAGGTATTTTGAACAGCTAAATGACTCTGACAACACTGACAAAGGCCTTGTGCCAGTAAGGTCAGTGAGGACAATGTGAGACACATTAAAAGGATGGCTGATCAGGACCAAATGGGTGATCAGTCACAGAAAAGAGAAGGAGATTGTCAGCCTAAGGTAGAAAAAGCCAGAAATCACATAATTGATTAGATATGTTTAATTAACAATTTATTAAATTTGTATACAATTTAGCCTTATTGAATACACTAAGTTATTCTCAACAAATAAACACAATGATCAAAACAAATAATTGCTTATATAAGAAATGTCTGCCTTTGGATCACTCCTAAAAATGATTTGACACAAAACATGCTCTACAAGCAAAGACAGATAGTATTTGATTAGATTTGTATAAATCAATCCCCCAGGTAAAAAGAGAAACAGGG